GGTCTTCTCCCGACCTAAGTGCCCGCCCACGGGCGTATCATGAACCTCATAGAGGATTCGATACTTTAGATCCTCATCTTGAGGAACGACTACACGAGGGTTATCCTCAGCGTCGGTGCTGTAGTACAGCAGGCCGCCATCGAGTGAGTATCGATGCAGCCTCGCGCGTAAGCGCCCAGACAATTCCTTGTCAGAGTCCTTAAACTCTTCGCTCCCAAGAGCCCGTAGCAGCGCTACGCACATGTCGTCTTGTGCATACGCTCCGCGTATCAAGTCAGGCACTGACGACGTCACTGTCGTGACATGAGCTAGCTCGTAGTCCGGCCTGCGCGAGAGTGCATCGGCCACTACATTAAGCCGCCCCGGCTTGTACTTCACCTCGAAGTTATACTCGGCAAAGAAGGAAAGCCATCTTGCCATTCTCTGAGAGAGATGAGGCGACTGTGTCGCAGTGCGTAACGACGCATGATCAGTAAAGATCACAAAAGGCTTAGAGCCTAGCAGGTGTACTCTGAATTTGACGAGAGCATACTTCATTGCAAGTAGCTCTTTGTCATGAACTGGATAGTTCTTCTCTGCAGCTTTGAGCTGGCGAGACTCAAACGCGATCACGCGCTCACGCCCTTCGGCGTCTGCTTGTAGTAAAGCACAACCGATTGCAAAATCGATGGCGTCACAGACGACGCTAAACGGACTATCCGGGTCCGGTAGCGCAAGGATCGGAGCCTGGAGGAGGCTCTCCTTCACAGCCTCAAAGGCTCCGTCGTGCTCGACGTTCCAGCACCATGGTGCGTCCTTCTTAAGGAGATCTGATAATGGCCGAGCCATCTCCGCGTAGTTCGCACTGTACTTGTGCAAGTAATTGGCTAAGCCTAGCCACTTGCGTAAGTCTTTTTGGTTCTTGGGAACCGGCCAGTCCACGATGGCCTTGACTTTGGCAGGATCTGCCCGTAAGCCACGCTTCCCAATGAAGCACCCGAGGAAAGGTATCTCCTCCGCGCCAAAGACGCACTTGTCCAAGTTGGCATACAACTTATTAGTGCGCATGCACTCGAGCACCGCTCGCAAGTGGTCAATGTGGTTATCCACGTCGGACTTTCCGTGCTCGGCACGACTATGGACGAATATATCGTCAAAGTACGTTTGAGCGTACGCCCGGTGGGGCCTAAACAACTGCGTCACAAGACGATTGAACGTTGCTGGTGCGTTCGACAGCCCCTGGGGCATCACCAGCCACTCCCAGAGCATACCGCTCGGAGTACTCACCGCTGTCAGCGGAATGTCGCTCGCTCTCATGAGCAATTGGTAGTAGCCATCGACCAAGTCGAGCGCGCTGTACAACGTACAGCCTACCATGTTGTTCTGCAGAATATCCTTGCGAGGAATCGGCGTTTGCGCCGGAATAGTGGCCGCATTCAGCTTGTTAAAAGCATGAACAATGCGCCACTTGCCGTTCGGCTTTCTGACACAGAACGTGGGTGTCGAGTGCGGAGACTTACTCTCACGCACCATCCCTGCCTCGTGCTTCGCACGGAAGAATGCGTCAATGACGTCACACTGCTCTCTCGGCAAAGGCCAGTGCCTTGTTACGCAGTATTTGGTTCCAGGAACCAGGTCAATCTCATGACACACGCCTCGATCCGGAGGCAGGCCCGTCGGTGGGTCTTTTGAGACAACGTCTCCATACTCCTTCACCACCGGGTAGAAGGGATCCGAAGGATCTTTGAGGATCGCCGATCCACTTCTTGCGCTTAGCGCCTTCTTGGTGTCCTCTAGGACCGCGTCGTCGACGACGGATGAGGAGTTCAACTCCTCCTCAGGTCCCAGCAAGACCACCTCGGCTAGCTCGCCTGCCTTTAAGGCTTCGCCGAACTCGGCAATGGACATCTCGTCCAGCTCTAGCAGAGCATCTGCAGCGGGCAGAGTATCAATGCTGATATCGCCTTCTACCTCCCCCGTCACTCCGTTCACGAGTGTATACAGCTGTTCACAGCAATCACGTGGAGCATCACCGCTCGTCACGTTGGACACATCGTCCGACGTCGAAGACGTCACAGACGCCCTGCGTCTTCTTCTCCTCTCCCTCCGCGACCGAGCCCGGCCGGATGAGGGCGGTGTGGCGACATCTCCGTCACCACCACCGGGTGCAGCAGCACCATCACTCCTCGAAGAGGATACAGTGTCTCGCAAGACACTCGGCTGAAAGCCAAGAGGCTCTTGACCTTCACACAGTGAACTAGGTGTCACTTCACCTGCATCTCCTGGGCCACGCCCATGATGCCTCGACTCGCAGTCGACCGCGACCCTCGGGTCACGCAGCGGTAGGTCATCGACCAGATTCATACCACTCAGTGGATTACGCGCCACTCCGCGCTCGTCCTCACCAGGACCCAGCAGTTGGTCATTGACCTGACCTGCACCGCTCCGCGGATAACGTGCCGCACCACGTACGCCCTCAGGGCAAACAGCAACCTCGTTGCTAACAATTTCGGACATACCAATGTCCAGCACTACGGCCGCCTCGGCCTCGTGCTCGCGCCAAAAGCGCTTCTGCTTCCTAGCAGAGGTGGGTTCATGACTCACCAAAGCTCCACTAGGAGCAGGGTGCGACGCACCCAGCGTTTTCGACTTCCAGTCGATCCATGGCTCATGACGTTCCAGCCATGCCATGCCAAGGATGAGGTCATACCTCGCATCCAGGTCTAAGACCAGACAGCGTTCCACGCTATCGAAGTTCTCAAACCTCACTCCAAGGTCGACAGAGACCTTCGACACAGTTACCATTGTCCCCGTCGCGAGACGGACAGAGATCGTATCTCTCGTTGGCACTTCCAGTGCCTCAGCATACAGCTGACTCCCTTCCAGGGTGGAGCGACGGGCGTAGTTGCCCGAGGCTCCCGAGTCAATCAAGACTCTCCATGGCTTTGCAAAGCCCTTCACGTTCGCTTGAACGACCAGCAAGCCCGGCTTGCACACACTCTTCTCGTAAGAGAGCTCAGCTCTCTTCGGGGCTGAGCCTCGTTGCCCTCTACCTCTTCGAGGCACAACAGAACTCAGTTCTTCCCCAGTAGGCCGCCCCGCGCTTACTGGGAGTTGCCGTTTCCCGGCGATGACCCGGAGGGTTGGCTCGCCGGAGCCTCGCGCTTCTTGCGCAGAGGGCAATAGGCCCTCAAGTGCTTAGTGCTATTGCACACAAAGCATCGGCGGATGCCGGCGCGCTGCTCCGCAGCAAGAAGCTCCGCTTCTTCATCTTCAGCATAGCTGAGGTCCATCGGCTCTGGACCGCTCGAAGAGCTCGCGCTACCAGCGCTCCAACCAGGTCGCGCCGACCTGAAGTTGTGCTCGGCATTCAATGCCACATCCACCGCCTCTTCAAAAGAGTTAGGGTGTACACGGAACACTTCGGTTCGAGCTGCGCTCACACGAAGTCCCTCCATGAACACGGTCACGCTGACCAGTTCCGGAAGAGGGTCCGCCGCCATTCCGGCGATAAGAGTTCTCAACTCTTGGACATAGTCCAATAAATCCTTCTTACCCTGGCGGGTAGCAAAGAACTTTGAGCGGACACGGTACGCCTGATTAGGCGGCGCGAACACGCGCGAAAGCTGTTGCTTCAGCTGATACCAAGTGGGAAATGCAGCGTCAACAGACGTGCCGCACGTTAGTGACCATTCGCGAGCGCGACCTCCAAGCCTGGAGATAGCCAGCGCCACGCGCTGATGCTTAGACTGGAGCAGCGCCGATCCCATGGCCATCTCGACCTCACGGGTCCAGAGAAGGAGATTCTCTCCATCCTTCCCCTCGAAGGTTTTTACGCTCACCATGAGCGGTTTCAGTCTCATAGACTCTTCACGCGTCATCGACGCCGCCGCCGTTGCGGCGCTCATCTTCTCTTGGACATGCTCCAAGAGCGCGTTCTCGTAGCGGGAGAACGATTCCAGCCTGGCAGTGACCGCCGCTGGACCTTGCGATGCAAGATGAGCCACGCCCTCCGGGCCAAGCAAGGACATAAGCTTAGTAAGCGCGTCCTGCTGCGCCGGGGGCAAATTCGCGAACACGGGGTGTTCCATCCTCGCAGAGGATATAGTCAACCGACTCAGGAGCGGGATTGACTACAAGTGCTACCAAGTGCAGCGGGGCTGCCGTAGCTTTAGCGTCAGAGGAAGACGTTCGACTCAAAGAGTCACTAATACTAAGTTCCTTATCCAAAGGACACTTACAGCCCAAGACCAGGGCTCAAAGTTAACACCTTAACTTTTATGCTTCAAAACCAGAAGTGTTTTATTTACTATTATTGCGGCCAAGCCGCCTAGGGGTAAATGTATCTGTTTAACTATCTAGCATAGCTAAACCTAATCAAATACATAACGTGTGGCTTTCGGCCAACGTACTGAGAGACCTTGTTAACTCTCCAACTTATGTACTGAGAGTTTGTTAACTCTCCGGGTACTTCGTACCCCTGTGTGTTCCACACCATGTAACCCCGTTACAAGTGGGCTATAGTTGGGAGTCGGGTGCCAATTACCAATTCTGCACCAATTACCAACGACACGATACCAACTATTGTGTAAATTGAAACTAACATATATGAGACGGCGTCAAACGAAAAGGTGCTTACAAACCTAAGTACGAATCGCGATTTAGGCACACCATTGGAAAGAGGATGATCTCCTCTTTTGATTGGTGCATTCAGATCTACAAAAAGTACAAAACTCACTGAGCGACGATCCTCAGAAAAACATGTCTCCTTGAAAAAAAAAATTTCGGAAAAAATGTTCGTAGACCCCTGAAAACAATTTTTCTTACTGAATCGATTGCACCTGGTCCCAGTATCTAGTTTGCATTAATTTCTTTATAAATATGTGTTTGAAGTTGGAGATCTCAATTTTGAATGGTATATTTTGAATTTTGGGGTACATCATTTTTATTTTTTGGGGTATTTGGGTATAGGATGGAAGGATCATTCTGATGTATTGCTAACATTCCACTCACGAATTGACCTAATTATCTTTCTTTGCGCGCTTTCGGCTTCGGGTTCCAGTCTTGGGCTGCGCTGGTGTAGCTTTCAACACGTTTGCACGGCCTTCATTCCCTTCTTCACTTTCAACCGGGGCAACCTTCGCCTCATCAGAAACTGCAGCGTCTCTCTTTTTTTTTTGGCACTTGCGTTTCGACGTGCCTGCTTAGCCTCCTTCGCGAGGCGCTCTTCCTCATCCGTAGGAGCTGCGTACAGGGGATCCGACGCAAACTCGGAAGGGACGTACGGTCTTACCTTGTTGTACATTTGCTGCTTTTTCTCGAAATTCGAGGCGGTGGTTGTAGAGGCTCTAAGTACGCAGCTAGCAGAGTTTGCACTTTTGCGGCGTCTGTCTGTATGCCGTCAAACGACCGGCGAAGGTCTTGGTCCATAGGCTCGTCTGCAGGTCCAACACGGCAGCTGACAACCCCCGGCTTCTCCTCGCTCATTGAGAAAATCTGGTAGCGCTGCACCCCCTTAAGATCCTTATAGGCCTCTGTGACCGGCGTTCGGAACACTTTCATCATCGTGTTCTCTTTCGGGATATGGACAATAGCTGAGCTAGACGAGGAGTCGTTGATAATCTCGAGTAGCTGGTCAGCCGTCCACACGTCCTCCTTAGCAAACTTCTTTCTCATAAGGCCGAAGCCACGGTCAACAGCGTTCTTGGTGTGACCTTTGACGAAAAACTTGAGCGAAACGACATCAAGTTCTCCAGTTTGAGCTAAAGCCAGCAGCATCTTAATAACGAAGTAATTCTTGTTTTGCCCCCCACAATTGTCAGCGTAGATAGTGAGTTTTCGGTGGCCGTTCGCCTGCACGATCCGCTTGATGAAGTGGTACAGCATGCTGTTGACCTCGTCCGTTCCTTTGCCGGCAACCGATTCTTCGTAGACGTAGTTGTACTGAATACCCTTGTTAGCGTAGTAAATTCCAAAGACGTGAACGGTCACCAGAGACAAGAAATACCACTGAGACGGCGTGCTGGTAACACTAGGAAGGGTCTGAAATCCATGACGATCACTGCAAGATCCCTTGACACGGATGCCAGGTCTTTCTTGTACTCCAGCCTATACAAAAACTTCACAGTTAAACAAAATGATCTTTGCATCCTATCTAAACAAAAATGATTCTTGTATCCGTACCTCATCTCCTTCGCGGCTTCAGTATGGACGCCTAGCTCCTCAGTAAGCTCCGTCGTGATACACGACCGCATGCGAGTGTGCAGGATAGCACACAAGTCACACACGTTGCTACGAGGAGACCTGATCCGAATCGTCGGACAATACTGCTGTAGGAGCTTTCGAAACGTCGAAGGGCGGGGTTTACGCACGTCCAGGTCGTTTTCAAGCACATAGGCATTCATCTCAGAGTAGAGCTGATCCCAAGTAAAGTATGCAGGCAGCAGCGTGTAGTTTTCGTCCGTGTACTGCTTGCGTACGTCACCGGCTATCGTTTTCTGTGTGCGGACTCTCACGGGAACAACATCGCCTAGGGTCGAAGCAAACGACCGAAACCAGCTCACCAACCAGCGAATGTCGATCTTTGTAGCGTTCTTGTTCAGTAGACCCTTGTGTACCTTGACGGAGAAGGCGCCACGTTGAATTTGACGGCGGTAGCGAGTGATAGTTGCCGTAGAAACGCTGTAGACAGCACACCATGCATCTCTGCAAACACGCCCTATCAGTGGCAGGTAGAACGTGAAAACTTGCCTTTCCCCAGTACCCCGACGCCGCACTGCGGTGTCTGTCTTCATGAGCATCGCCAACGAAGTTAGGACGCTCTGCTTCATCTCCCGGGCAGTCATGATTAATGTCGAGCGCAGGAAATCTTCAAGTTCAGCAGCCTTCCCCTGGAGGCAATGATCGTCGCACTTGTCGTGCTGGATTAAGTCGACCACTGTGTCGTGAAAGTCCTCGCCAAACAAATTGATGCCTCTGTCCTCAGCGAACTCATCCAGTGACTCCACGTCCGAAAGTCCATCTTGAGCCTCTTCAGCACTTGACGCTGCGCTCGACTCATCCGAGACAGGCTCCCACACACTGTCGTCGGAATCCATTTCACTGTTGCCTTCTGGATCCGGTCTTAGCGACCCAAGCAGCCGTCTTTCACCGAAAACTGCGACGCCCTGCTCGGACGACGCACTGGGGCTTGCATGACTGCTGGTGGGTGTCGGAGTGGAGGAGGGGGCCGGACGCGTATCCATTGCTCAGTTGAGTACAAGATCGCCTTCGATACACCTCGAGAAAAATGGGTCTGTGTGGGAAAAGGCCCTGTTTGCAAAATATCACTTAAGTTCGAATTTAACTGGCCAATCTTTAAAGCCGTTTTTCTCGATAACTCTAAATGGTTTGTAAGGATCAGTTCGTTTGACGCCGTCTCATATATGGACCGTTAATTGTAGTTGCGCTAGCTAACAAGTGTATCACTGCAATTGAAAACGTGATACTCCGCGAGAAAGCAAATAATAGGAGGGATGTCTCCCATGACGATGTTGCCGTGGTGATTTTGAAGGTGGGGACATTTCGGGCAAACGATATTGCAATTATGCAGCAATGGCATTCCATGGCATCCGTTGTTCGTGGAGCAGAGGCGCTGGTATCATGGATTAAGAGTGTGAAGTGTGAAAATCCTGATGAGGAGGAAGAGAGAAATGCGATTGTGGAGACTGTTTTAGAGTTAGATCTACGTGGGTCAATTAATTCTAGTGGAGTGTCCGTGGAATTTGCCGAGCTTGCTAGATTTGGCAACGACGGATGGCTCAGTGATCAGTGTCTGATGAGCGCAACGCAACGAATTGCAGCAGAGGCATCGTGGAATCCCCCTCCAAATATTCACGTAATCAACCCGACGTTTTCGTATTTCGAGGATGATGACCAGCGCAATCGACTCTTAGACACAAAGAGCCAGCTTTTCAGCAAATGTCACGATGGTTTAGCAATGTTGTGTCCAATCTACATTAATATCGACTACGGACATTGGTGTGGAGTTATAATTGATATTAAGAGACGCGTGATCTGGATCTACGACCCCTTTCACAGGAAGAAACACGAAGATGAGGTGAAAAGGAAGGTGGTAAACGTATTTTTGGAGCTGGTCGACCCAGCCTACAAATTTGAGATTCGAGAATTTCGCGCGTGGCTTCAACAAGACGGATTCAGTTGTGGCGTATATGTGGCTCACTGGTTCGACTACTGCGTGTCAACATACATATTGTCACCAGACAAGATTGTATCTACTGATACGGAACCATTGTCAGAGAAAGAACTGGAGAGAATTCGCTACAAGATCTTCTGCTATGTACTCTTCGGGATGCAAGTCAAGAATACTTCTAAGTAACTACAAAGAAAAATGGATTCTTTTTACTTTTTAATGCTTACTTTCTAGTAAAAAACGGCTTAATCTATATTAAAGCGCCCGCCCCCACCCTTCTTCTTCTAATCCTACTTCTCCTTTTGCGTGTATCAGTCTGCACTATAACGTTGGGGATCCCTACACATTTCCTATGTTCGAATAAAAAATATTTGACATTGTTGACAAAAAAAATAACATGTATGCGTCACCTATGTAATATACTTAAATTGGTTTATAGTTGGTCTGGGGACCAATTGTAGGAAAAACCAACTCGTACAGATTCATACCGACAGTCATACCGGTACCTTCTAGCCCTAAGCTCACATGTGTTTTTCAGATTTCGTCCATTTTATGGCGAAATAGTTGGTGGATGCAATGAGTGCCAAAGTGTAATCAGTGCCTTGTGGATAATATCCACAGGGCATATCAGGTTATTTTATTAAAATAGCTCGATGCACAAATTAATAGCATTGATACTGGAAATTATCAATGCTATTAATTTGTGCATCGAGCTACCGGTAAATAAATTTCAAGCAATAATACTAAGGAATCCACCCGAATAAAAGCACCCTAATTAAAAAAATGCTAATCATATTAATTCTCACATAAACATAAATTTAGAGCGCCTATTGTCATTATTGCTTACCGGTTCGGGCTCAACAGTTCGTATCTAGTGTGAATTTAAAAAAAACGGGGAAACGTATTTGACTCGATTCTGTTGGTATAGCCTTTTGCGATGATGTCACCGACTTTGCCATCCTCCGCCTTTACTTTGGCGGGGAGCGAGCGCCGGACCCGATCGAGCAACAGCAGCAGATACGACTCCTTGCTCTCATTCTGGATGGGGCCCATGCTAACACCCTCACTCTCGTCACAGAAATACCAGGACGTCCCGAACCAGGACGCGATGCAGACAAAGCAGTGTGTTATCACGACCTCATTGTACGAGATCAATATAGCCGATTCACGCCTTTCAGACGAAGGATCCGTGATCACATTCACACATGAGGGCCTACCGCAACTGCGTGCAGCTTCACACCAAACTGCACTACATCTCGGTCGTGACGAAGCCACGCATCTCCTAAAGGCCCGGCATCGTCTCTCTTTCATTTCGTTTGATGAACCGTCCAAAACCCACCTGCTCGTCAAGCGCACGTGGATCCGAACGTTCGAGCGCACGTCCGGGTTGCTTACGTCATTAGAGTTAATGAAGTCACAAATCTATGTGTGTACAGTACGACATGCGTTCATGCGCGCTCACTGGGGCTGCTGAAACGTGTACGTACCGCCGATTGTAGTAAAGATTTTCTTTGGGTGTTGGCTCATGCTTTTTTCCAGCTTTTAGAGAGGGGATTGGTACATTTGACCGTCCACGTTGGTCGGTGGCGTTGATGTGGCCGGGTTCGAAGCGTGGTGGGTGTCGGTAGCGCTCTTGGCGACCTGTCGCTTCATCGGATTCGATAAGCGGCGCGGTTGACTCCGCTTGCTCTAGTCTGACGAATAGAAGAATAAGCCGTATATTTCGACGCGGCCGCTTGCGTTGAGATGGGAATGACTAACCGTTCCATAAGAAGTGCTGTGCAAATTGGAACATGGCTGTGTTGGGATGGTTGTTGTGGCGGTGGGACCAGGCTCATAACTTTAACGTCAAGATAGCCGCTACAGCTTCGTTGATATGATGTTGTTGCAAGTAGTGGAGCTGATCGCTGCGCTGTTCGTGACGTTTTCAGAAGCTGATTGTCGTGTGCGTAGGTTGAATAGACAAGTCAGTGATCAACCGCGCATTTAGGTCGGTTGCGATCATCACCCTTTATTTCTATCTAACGCGTCGTCGTGGAGGTTTAGCTTCCTGATCAACGTTCGCTAGATCTACAGTAGATATGACATGCTCTAGGATGACATTTTAGTTTGCAAATGCTCGGTGGAACCTCGAGATGTGGCTGGCTGCTTTGATGGCTGATTTTAATCGAACGGTAAGTGCCTCGTGAAGTGTGCTAGGGCGCAGTCACACATTGACCGGACTGGATTGCGTTCATGTAGGCGCAGTACGAATGCATTCGCGGATATGGTTCGTGCGGCAGCAAGTGCATGAAACAGCGCTCCGGTCTGGATCAAATTCCAGGACCGGTTCTTCATTTTGAAGAATTCAACGATACGGTCCATTGTTGGTGCTTTCTGGTCTAGCGCAAGAAAGTCAAATACAGGTATGCCCCATCCTGTTGCCAACGTGACCACAAGACTTCCTACAAAATCATAGAAGTTAGTGTGTGCATGATCTGAAAATTAAGTACGATGCAACTCACCCAAATTATATCCGAGGTTATTAGTCCCGTGTGTCAAGTCCATCGCCAGTGTGTCGCCCCACTGACGAAAACACTCCTTCTGAATGGAGGTTTGCAATGCAATGACACATGCTATACATATTTGGTCTTGCACCAGGAGTACATCATTTCCTTCTCTCCGTGACGAAAATACCCAAAAGAGACTTGGTTTGTTCCAACGCTGATGATCCCAACAACGCCCGTAGCATATTAGGTGTTTGCTGAGGTGTAATTGTAATATCTGCACGTAGATGAAATATTATTAAACTTGATTCAAACGTTGAATATACAGCAACTCTTAAGGTCGACTGCGGTCACCCTCCCTTTCGAAAAGCACCCACCTAGCTTGTCCGCCAGATAGCGGTTCACAGCAGCAGCACTGGGCTTCACCTTGATGAGTATACCGAGTTCTTGGTGAGCTTTTGCGCGACAAAAGTGACTTCGCACTACGATACGAATCGTAGATCACCTATGTAGTGGGGTGGTCGTGCATCGTTATCTAGAGCAGTAAACAGTTAGAACTACAAATATGCGTAAAAACAGCATTTTACGAACCTCTGTGTCCTCACCAATATACACTTCCCACGAGGGTTTACCGGCCTCAACTGAGTAGACGAAAAACACAACAAAGCTCGCTTCACATCCTATAAAGCGGCACCCATGCTCTCGAAGGGGGGGGGGCTGAGCTGCAGCATGCGTACACCAAACTCGTTTGAAGCTGTGGGTCAAAAATTTAGGTATCTTCCTAGCACCAGGAAGCCTAAGCAACATAGCAGCAAACAACACGTAAACGACATAGTGAGACAGCAACATAAACGTCAATATCAGTATCGTGCACCTCACCTGTTGTGCTTCTCTTTGTCTCAGAGCTCCGAGCTCAACAACAAAGTAAGTGCTCGGCTTCGTCATCTTTGATCACTTTCTGATACTCCTCCACGTGTTGAAGAGCCCTGGCTTGTCGTTGATGACTGGGGTTAGCGTTTTCACAATCTTCTTGCGGTTATCCGCGTTGTTCGTTTGGCGACGCCAGAGATGATGTGGCCGACTAGCCGACCCTTCCATGGATTCTCGTACCCGCTTGGCTGGAGGCTTGGGATATGGGTCATCTGCAGTCGACAACTCTAATTAGAAAATGTAAATAACATTGTTGATGACTCGTACCTGATTCTGATGCATTGCTTTCCGTATCGTTGGAGTCCGCTAGGGTGGCTGCAGTGGTGTTATCCTCGATGCTGCTCTCCATGTTGCCATCCATGTCTTCCTCAGTGTTGCCCTCAGTGCTGCCCACAATGTTGCTCTTCATGTTGCTCTCCATGTTGCCATCCATGTTGCACTCAGCGGTAGCGGCCGGCGAGTCGGCTGCCACCTCAACAATAGCGTTCTGGGTGTTTCCACCTCTTCGTCATGCGTGGTAGCCTCCGCCGTGGCGTCCTGTGTGGCGGGGGCATCCTCGTCCGGCATGACAGTCTCTGTGGCGTTCTTCGTGGCGTCCTGCGTGATGGGGACGCCAGACTAACGTAATCACGCGAGCGCAAGGTGGAGCGACGTCCTACACACATCAAATCAGTTTATATCCATCACGGCCTAGTTTATAAGCGTCATACCTGTGTTAGTGACCGCCTGGGCGTGCGCCACATCCACTTGTTTCGCCGCCCCCGTACTGGGCGCTCGCTTTTCTTCGCCATATCACGTGAATTGGGATTCATAGCTCAAGAAGTGGAGAAAGCAGCACCGTTGTGGGTTTCTCAGATTTCGTACTTAGTCGACCACAAAAGTTTGCACATTTTTAGTCTAATTGTTTGGTTTCAAATTCGCGGGAATATAAACTTGATAAATTACCGAACAACCCAGCATTGCTACTTATCGTGTGATTGTAAATCTAATTATGTCTAAAACACCAAATAAGCAAGAAAGTAGTTCAAATGTACAGTACTTGTACATGTATATCCAAAAACAAACAAATTAGCTGGAATGGGCGTGACCAAGGAAGTTCTGACAGAGGGCAACGGGCCGACGCCCACGAAGGGCGCGTCGGTGACGGTGCACTGCACGGGTTTCGGCAAGGACCGTGACCTTCAGCAGAAGTTCTGGAGCACCAAGGATCCGGGCCAGACGCCCTTTACTTTTAAGGTGGGACTTGGCCAAGTCATCAAGGGTTGGGACGAAGGCGTGCTGGGGATGAAGATCGGAGAACAGGCGCGTCTCACCTGCACGCCCGACTACGCGTATGGAGCTGGTGGCTTTCCGGCCTGGGGATATCCTTTTCCGCCAATTAGTTGCATGAATGTGGGGTGTGCGCTTTAATAATGTCGTGGGTTCCTTAACTGTGTGGGATGTGTACAATTCAGCCAAATTCAGCGCTGATATTCGAGATCGAGGTGCTCAAGATCGAGTAGACTATGCGTCACTTTATTGGCATGTTTTCAAACGTCGGATCGACCGACGCCTGCACGCTCTGTACGACCACATACGAGTTTTCAAGGCCAGTATAATGCGAAAATGAGACGAACGCAACATCCATAGTTTTGTTGTTGTTTTCGTTACTTCACTCACATGCATGTCAGCTTCCGGGAGAAGCGTGAAACCAAAATAGTACTTAAAAGACTTGCAGGAACGATTTCCAAGTGGCGTATCTTCTTCAGTACCCTGGGCCACGAGGACGAGGGCGCGGTCGAGCTACGACTGCACCACCACGGACTACCGCACCACCAGCGACAACGGCTTCGCCATGACCATTATTGGCGGCGCCGTCGCTAACCCCGCGCAATGCTGTCATCAAAAATGCGTTAGCGTTTGAGTCAGTCACTCAAAGGCATCAACATGCAAGCTATGCCCGCTTACCGCGATAGCCTCCTCCACCGCCGATGCCACCAAGCCCACCGACTCCGCCTAGCCCACCGACTCCGGCTAGCCCACCGACTCCGTCCAGCCCGCCCAATCCGCCAAGACCTCCAATTCCACCCAGTCCTCCTAGCCCGCCCAGTCCACCAAGCCCACCCAGCCCACCCAATCCACCGCCAAGACCGCCGATTCCGCCGCCAAGACCTCCGATTCCTCCCAATCCACCGATTCCACCCCCATACCCAAGACCATACCCATTAAACTCGCCCTTTCCGCTCGGATCACTCGCCAGAGCACGATTTTTGGCATCGGCAGGCACGGGGTGCGTTGCCGCTGTCAAGGCGAAGAGGATCGATGCGAAAACGAAAAAGACCTTTTTCATGTTGTTGCTTTGCTAGGGTGCTGTGGGGTACTGGAAATATTTGTGAGTGAGAACAAGGAAAGCCATGGAGACTAACGGTATCTGCTTGCGTATCTGAAACATTGTCCAACCACGTAGTGTATCAAAATCCGGGAATGGTGCTTCCAGCTTTTGCTAAACATCAACGATTATGACACTGGGGCTAAGTGTATTCCACGAGAGATTCGAGAATTGCATTCTCTATCAAGAAAAAAATGCTTACCAATTTAAGTAGACTATTGCTTGTTTTCGAAACCCGTTAAGTGATAATGGAACACAAATGATATATTAATATTGCAGAGTTATGGCTAGCTGCTCGTGCCCCAAACAGGCCTTCCGAATAAAAAGATTTTATACGAAACACATGAACGGAATAATGAGTGTTTTCCTTGATGAGACAAAAACGCAATATCTTACAGTTTAGATTGTCGCAACACTTTTTTCCAGCTGATTAATGCCATGTCACTCAAGAAAAAACAACGCCCGCGATAGTGTTCGCATACGGTAGAATTGCGAATCTGTGAAGAAAACGTGGCTAAACGTACCGATGGTCTTGCGTTTTCCGAGTAAGTGAAAACAGAAATTTCTAACTTCAGAAAAAGCAACATCCAAATTTTGAGTTGGCTTACTCGAACTACATGCACAGCTTCATGAAGTAAAAGATGGGCGGTGAAGCAATGTTGGCGGTGACTGTGATTCCCACAGTCAAGCAACGCCATCGTCCGTAGCATTTCGTTTGCAAATCAGTAGTACCAGCGACGAGGACCCGGTCGAGCAACAACGGCACCACCACGGACTACCGTTCTTCCCCCCGCGACGACGACCTCGTCATTGCCATTCATTGCGATGCCGTCGTCTTCCAGCGCATCGTCAACCCCACGCAATGCTGCAGTCAAAATGGATAAACCATTTGATCAAGATTTCAAAGAGCATGAAAGTTAGCCCAAAACTGCCTACTTACCACGAAAGCCATCTGCACCGCCCATGTCACCGACGCCGCCCATACCGCCGCCAATTCCACCCATTCCGCCCAATCCGCCCAGCCCGCCAGCACCAATTCCACCCGCATCACCGATATCATCGCCAATATCGTCATCTCCCCCCATACCACCCCCATCCATTAGGACACGGCCTTCAGCGTTGACGTACTTGGGGTGTCCCCCGAAGTACACAGGTGGAGCTGCATGGACAGGAACGTACGTCGCCATTGTCAAAGCGGATAGAATCGAAGCGAGAACGACGGAAAAAGTCTTCATGGCTGCTGCTTGTTGCGGAATACAGAACAAATTGGAAAGTGAGAACAAACCCGACTGGAAGAAAATACTAACGGTATCTCTTGCGTGCTTGAAGAATTGGCCCCTCCCATTCCAACCACTAGGTGTATCAAAATCCGAGAATGGCGCCTCCAACTCTCTTTAAGCGATTGGGATCATCAATTAACAATGCTGACACCGAGACATTATATTTTAAAGTTTTCTGCAAACAACGTATAAAAATGCGCCCCTGAATTCCGCTCTACAGGTTTTCTATTTGCTACGACCATTTTTAAGCGTATGCCAAAAAAGTTGAGCCAACAATCAGCTGGATCGAGTATAAATCTGACGTCACTACACTACTCCTCGACACCTTTGAACGATCTAAACCTGTCACGACAATAACCTGTACATATGCAACTAGGAGGCATAAGGCTCTGCAGTCAAAACTGTAGTCAAACTAGTGTCAGTAAAGTGTTCAATCTTCCTTATGGCTGCGTCGTTAGGAATGGAGTACAGCGAGATTTCGTGGATTCAAGGGAACCAACATCCAAATTTTTGGTCAACTACATACTACATGCACAACAGCCTCATTGACATCGACGCTGCGACAGATTCCCACGCTCAAGCTGGACAGCAGCTTCGGTCGCTCGCGACATTTATTTCGCGATTCAGTAGTACCAGCGACGAGGTCCCGGCCGAGCAACAACAGCACCACCACGGACCACCGTTCTTCCTCCAACAACGACGACCTCGTCATTACCATTCATAGCGGTGCCGTCGTTTTCGAGCTCATCATCTACCCCACGCAGAGCTGCGATCATATGCATGAACCACTTAGTCAATAACCATAAAAACAATGTCAACCCTGAGATTGCCTACTTACCACGAATGCCGCCACCGAGGTCGCTGATTCCACCTAATCCACCCGCGCCACCCAGTCCACCCAATCCACCAGCATTGCCGATATCGTCGCGAATTGCATCACCAATATCATCGCCGCCAATATCATCATCTCCCAGACCGCCCCCATCCATCAGGGCACGATTGGCGTTCGGTCGAGTTGCATGGCCAGGAATGTGCGTCGCCATTGTAAACACGGACAAGATCGAGGCGAGAACGACGAATAAAACTTTCATACTTGATGTTTTACCCAGGAGAAATCGGAGAGTGAGATGAAAGTGCCTCTCGGGTACTTGAAGTGCTGCCCCCTCCCATTTCGGTGCATCAAGTTTCGGGAATGACGATGTCGACTGACTTTGTTGAAAACCTCTGATAAATAAAATACCCTAAAAATGAGCCTCAACTCTTAGAGACTACGAAGTTGTCGCTCCACACGCTTGATCTGAATTCACACACAGTAGATGTGTGAGCTTCGCTTTTGACAAGACACAACTAGCGGGCGATATGCATACCTTTTCATCCCAAGCGGCAACTTCTGCCTGGAATTGGGACTCTTCGTGTGCGCATTGTTGTTGCAAACTGAGTTCTTGGCGACGAAGTTCAAACTCGATGCGTTTTTCTTTGTCGTCGCTAAGCGCATTTGATTCGTTGAGTCTCTCTACACAGTCCATTCCGTACTACAAACACAATCGTTAGGTGGCATTGGAACTTAAAACACGAGAGCCCAACAAGTAGATTGTGCACGGACCTTGATGCCTTCACCCAGTACTCTGCTTAAGTGCTCGGTTTCTTGAGCTTTCGACACCAACTCTTTTTCTTGTTTGAGCAACGAGTCCTTCTGGCGACGAAGTTTCGCCTTGGTCTTGACAGCATTTTTGTTCTTGCGCTGCAGCTCTTGGTATTCTGCCTGGAGGCCATCGCTTTTCTTCTTCGCATCAGCCACTAATGCCCTTAAGCTTCCGGTTTTCGCCTCTTGGTCGTTAATGTCTTTTGCCAGTGAAGCAATTTCGTGGTTTAGCCGTTCCACTGCGTCCTTTGTCCCGACAATTTGATCCCCGACGTCTTTCAATGTTGCATCAAGCTAAACACACAATTAACATCACTTCCAGTAGTCGAGTCGAAGAAACGAGATGCTTACTTGGGTTTGGTCTGTTTCCAGCAGCTTGAGCAGATTCTACAGGCATTTTAGATTGCTGATGAAAGGAATGGATGATGGTCAGCACATACCTGCTTGTCTTGTAGCTTCTTTTGAGCCGTTTGAACGCTTTCACGCTTTTCACTCAGCTCTTCCTGAAGACTTCTGGTACCGAAACCCCCTTCGTTTCGACCAAATGTAGCGATCGATATCTGTAGCTCGGTGATAGCGCCCTATAGTCAGCCAGCAAAGCGTCATAGTCTTACCAGTCTCTAAATGATTTTAGTGATACTACCTCAGCAGCAGCTAGTTGCTCATTCTGCGCGCTTAGCCTGAGTAAAACAACGTTAAGTGAGCAGAGCGATGAATATTAGCATGAAGCGCTTGCATACCTTTGTTCAAGCTCTTCACGTTGGGTGCTTAAAGCGCCAACGCTAGACAGCGCATCCTCGTTCGTCATCTGACCTCTCTCAAGCTCTGTCCATTTATTACAAAAAATCAACTACGTCGCCCAGAAATAATAAATAAATGCGTATGAGGTACATACCAGACGTAATAAAGGTGACACGGCGCTTGAGCGAGTTTGCCTCGTTCTTGGTTTTGAGTCGATATTTTCTGCGTTTGGCCTTCAATTTGCCTTCGATCTTTCCTGTACACCATACGTCGACGTTTTAGCACCAGCTAGTTGTTGTAAAACTGCGAAGGCAATACCGTTTTCTTTGACGACGCGGTGAGTGTCGTCACGCAGGCGTTTGAACAGCACATCGGTTCCCCTTTCCTTGAGGAAAATTGATTCTCGCAGCTTGTGAGTCTCCTGCTCGCACTTGCGTACTTCCGCTTCAAGTTTGGCTCGCTTCTCGATAAGCTGGTTCGTTTCCTCCCCCATTTGTACGATGAATTGCTGTGTATATCTGATCTTGGCGCGAATCTTCTGGCGACTTGCGCGTTGTTTAGTCGGCTTCGCACATTCACCCAAGGCGGCAGTGACTGTATCAATACATTATAAACATTTAGATCCACAGGTAGCCTGCCTGTCGCAAAGATACTTCAGTACCATTTTGTGCTTCTTTCTCCACCAAAGCATCCGTAGACGATAGCTTGTCCAGCTTTGTTGTAGCATCTAAGATCTGACACCTCAAACTGAGCATGGCGGCGCGCTGTTGCTGAAATTGAGCACGGAGCACTTGCACCTCGCGCTCGCGTTTGGCCACAGCGTCTACACCATAAATTAGCCAAAGATAACCGAGTGAAAAAAGAAGCACACCAAGCACTTACATCGGAACTCGGAATGCTTTGCCTCAGCAACTGCAAACATACATTTAGATAAGCACTGCTAACAGATGCAGCCATCCCCTCTCCCTTACCGACTTGCTCCTCCTCGAGACTCTTGAGCTCGTTGGTGTCTCCATCCAACTTTCTTGAAAGTGTTTTGAATCGTGCATGTTCTTGAGCAATCAGTTCCTGTAGAGATTTACAACTCTTCGAATCAGCTCACTTGTGTGCATGACTGCCAGGAACCTCAAACTCACCTTAAAGTGTTTGATACGGGCGTTCGCAGTCGCTACGTTACACTCGTTCAGCTTGATGTTCTCCATTAGCTCCATTTCGGCGTGCATCATCCCGACTACCCAAGGAAATTAGGCCACAAGAGTTATGTCACTAGATGCAGAAGAAGGATACACGCGAGCCAGACACACCGATGTACTTGCGCAACTCGCCGATCTCGTCTTCCACGAAGCTCGACTTGACACTGCCTGCTTCATTTGCGCGAGTTTTCTCCATCTCTTCCCTCTGCTGCTTATCTTCCGCTTTGCTCACTAGAGTGCGGAATACAAAATGGATGCGGAATCAAAGGGAAACCGAGCGACCATCACTCCTGGATCCCACGTTGAAGTTGGGTTCAACTTATGTGCCTTAGTGAGGTACTGCAGTTATAATTGGGAAGAGTCGTTTGCAAATTTGAGCTAACGACAACTACGGACGTCGGAGACTCCGACAGTATGGTATCAGCATCCACCGTCGGCGTGACGACAGATGTGTGCGCGTTGTCAGACCAGGTGAAGAAGTATCGTGCTCGAGTCGTGCAGAATGCCCAAGCGGCGGATAGTGACGCCAAAAACGCTGGCTCAACTGCAATCCCGTCTCTGCTGCTAATGTGTCTGAAGATCATTTCCGACCGCTTTCGTCTCCAACCAAAAGTGCAAAATGTGCCACGCCAGTTCCTTCCTGAGGTAATGGCTCGGCTACCATTAGACCTCGACGTGTGTGTGACGGCCCCTAATGTGACTGATGAGAACTACTGGAAGCGCTGCTGCCTTAGCAAAACGCAGTGGAAAAACATCCAAATCGCCGACCACGGACTTACATGGAAGCAGCTTTTCCTAGAGAAGCACCTACAGGATCTTCTTGAGGACTTTGATCCGTCTGTAGATGATCATGACCACCTAATGGCAGTGGTCAAGGCCTCCAGCGAGTTCATCTTTACACTTGAGATCGACCAACTGTTGTCCCACTTGGACTTGAACGAGATATGCGCCCAATTACGCAACTTAACAAGACTTCGAGTGACTTACGGCGTCAAACAGATCGGAATGAAGTATGAACGCATGCTGTTTGGGATGAAGATCTCCGACGCAACAAATCTCTCACATATCATCAAGATGTCGTGCTCATTGACGACGGTGTGGCTGCCCAGCAATCTTCTGGATGATGATTTGCTGCGGATGCTTATGACTGGGCTAGTAAAGAACACCAGCATCACCTCGCTGGATTTATCACATAACAAGCTTACCAACCACGGTGCGAGATTACTATCCAAACTTCTGGGCCCCGAAAGCGTGCTCACTACACTGAAACTATGTGATAACCAGATACACGCTGAAGGTGGGCGGTATCTCAGTCGCGGTCTCAAATATAACACCAGTCTGATGGAGCTAGATCTCCGACTAAATCGCCTCACCGACGATGGGGGGCGCGTGTTGCTGGAAGGCCTGGTGGATCATACGTCGCTGACCAGTCTGAACTTGAGCAGCAACATGTTGGGCACGGAAAGTGCTGAGGCGTTGGCTGAAATCCTCAGTGATTCACCGACGGCACTCCGCTCTGTAGATCTGAGCAGTAACGCGATGAGTGAAAGCGATGGAGACGTGTTGCTGCAGGGTTTGCAGCAGAATAACACGGTCATAGCGCTAGATCTGCGCCAAAACACGCAGATCCCGGCTGATGCTGATTGCCTCGCTAAAATCGCCCAGAAAACCAGACAGAATGAGGTGAATATCAAGAACCCTTCCTCCACAGCAGACGGTGGTAGCACGTAAGCATTGCTATGGGATTCCACGGATGAAATACTGTGACGAGTTCAAGTCAATTATCCACTTTCTTGACGTGATACCAACAGTGCATGCGTTAATGAAATGAACACGACGCTATCTGCAGCCTCCTCTGTTTTGCTGTCGCCGTTAGTATTTATCCGTTCACCACCGCTCTTGCACTCTCCGTCAGCACGAACACACGCAAAAATGAGCTGCTTCTTGACCATTTTGGCCACACGACAAAAACTCACGATATTCACACGAGAAAATGGCTCCTCGTAACCCTTAACCACGATCAGCGCCACAGCATGTGCATGCTTGGGGTCGTCTTTGTAGATGAGGAAATCTGCGCCGAATTTCGAGCCGAGAGTGACAATATACCCTTTGTCCCAAAGATCTCGAAAAACCTGTAGCCGATCGTGACGCCGAGGTGCTGCAGGAAACCTGTTAGATCATGAACCTAATCCTACACATGAAAGGCAATGGACCTTACATAATCGCCACTTGGCGTCGACAGATACTTCTCCAAGCCGTGCACCTTCAACCAATTCGTGCTTGATCTCCTCCACAAGTGCCAGTCCTTCCTCGTCCTTTAAGCTTCCTCCATCGGATCTTGTTGTTGCTGCTTCTAAACGAAGAAACCCTTTTGAAATACCCACTGCCATCTCTTCCAGTGTCAAGCGCAGCCGCTGAGATACCGCAGATGCAGGTGTCATGAGACCTTCTGATGAGCCATATATGCGGTATTGTTGCTGCAGGAGCGTGGCGTGCTGAGCATCAAGTACCAGCGCGTAGGTCGCCTCAGGGTCCGGCGTCACCACTACCGTCGCAACTGCCCAGTCAGTCATCGTTGAAACCAATATTCCAGATACTGATTGGCTGAAATATTTAGGTTGAAAGCTATAAGTTTACAAGCTGAAAGTGTGATTTACTCAGTCATCCTCCAAACGTTCAACATGGCGGACGAGAACAAGACGTCGACGGTGGAGGCGGACGTGGTCGTGGATGGCGACGCCAAGACCACCAAAACGGCTACCAGAACCACGACGACCTCTACGCGGGTCGTCGCCCCCTCCTCTGTCTCTGCAGCTTCCGAGATGGCGTCTTTCCTCGCGGCTTACGAAGCGTGGGTGGGCAGCCACTCTGGTCTGGCCCGCAATGTGGAGACGACGCTATACGTAGCACCACAGCTCGTACCAAAGCGTTTGATGGAGCCGGAGGTGGCGACGCAATTTGGCTATTCCCTGGTGGGGCTGCTGCATCTGTACCACGACTACGTGCTGTGGAAGAAAGACAACAAAGAGACGGAGCCGCCGACAAACTATCACAAGTACGTCATCCTATCTTCATAGCTGCTGAATAGGTGGATGCTGACGATGTGTACAGGTTAACGCGGCTAGTTCGTGTGCCGTTGTCGCTTATTTCGCACGTACAAGTGCTGGCAGAAGTCGTAGCTCGTCGAGTCGGTGGAGACGCGGGCAAATGGCGTCTCATTGTGTGGGTGGAGATCGTCAAGAGCGTGTTGCGTCTCGTTCTACTGGCTCAACAACGTCGCGCTATGCTAATGCGTGGTGGCAAGGTGAGCTGTTGATATAAACTTCAGTGATAGTTTGAAGCTTACAGCGCTGTGTGATATACGATCAGTACAAAGGGGTGGAATCTGCGCCTCGACCGTCGGCGTTATCCCGTTTCAAAAAGCCTAAACAGCCTGGTGCTCGTACAGGCAAAACTTTTGGCAAGGGTGAGATGCTGCGGACAGTAACGAGCAGGAAGTGCTGGGGCTGACTTGTACATGTTATTGGGGGATGTAGCTGAAGTGTCCGAGCCGGAGTCACAAGTGAAAAAGATCGACGAACCTAATAAGATGACGTTTGAGGTGAGTGGAAGGTCAAAATCTGGTACCAGGTGCTGAGATGATTGACAATCTTTGCTGTTCGGAATCAGAATGCGACGATCGAAGTCGCAGAGGGCTCGCGTGAGGACTTTCTTGTGGCAGGAGAAGCCTGTCACATCTTGCGACCTGTTGTGTACGCACTACTTCGTCGCCGCCGACCAGCGACATCGTGGACTCCCGTTGTAGTATCGCTCCTCGTGGAACTCTCTGGGTACGTGCGGAATGAATGACGTGCTGTCCACAATCGATGGTCTGATATTGTTGCTTTTACAATCGTAGATTGGCGCTGTCTGCTGCTGCTGTGGAACCGGTGGAATCATTAAAGCATGACGCTGGCGACAAGGCTAAAGATGAGATTGCAGCTCGCAAGGTTTGTTCATCGAGTCAAACAGTTGCGGGGTGATGTTCTACTCACCAAGTGCGTTTGTTACTCGGTCTGAATACGACAGATGGCTCTACTTCTTTACTTGCTCCGCGACCCCGTGTACGCGACCGTCACCAAGCCCGCGACTGGAAAGGTAGGACTTTTGAGTGTTTTAATCACTGTTGCGTCGATAGGCTCACCACTTATGCTATGCACAGGCTGCGGATGTCTTGGACTACGTACCTGGCGTGGGCAAGTTGTTCCGCTTCGGTACGAGGGCTGTACTCGACTACTACCACCAGTTCCACTTCTACACGTCGGCGTCGTAGATCTCTGTTTGCCTGGTTGTTTATATAAGCTTGATATCAGAAATGGAATGGGGTTCTCGCACTACTTCTTTCTTTTTGACAACTTGAAGCTTTCTCAAAAAGTTCCGGAACTACTCGACACTTTGGACTTTCATTTCTCAAGTTACGGCGAGCAAAACAAGGAAACCATGCACGTGAAAATGCTGTTAGGATTAGCTGCGGTTGCTGTGGTCTTACTATGGGTGGAGCCTGGTGTGAATGGGCTCACTGCTGAGCAAGGTACCTAAGTTCATGCGTCTTGTTAACGGAGTTGTGGATATTGATGAAAGAACTTGTTCTTGTAGAGCGTCAGCACCCAGTGGAGGCTACTGCCCAGCTGCCGCACTTGCTGAACGAGGAAGACGGTGACGCCAACGCTAGCGCTTCAGGCACTGATGGTAGCGATCCGGACGACCACGAAGCCGTTGAAGACAGCGATACGAGCGCTGATTGTCGTCCTGGCACCAGTAACTGGCCTGCATGCCGTAGCGTTGGCTACCCTGGGTGTATGCCAGGTGTCGTCCGCTGGCCGCAGTGTAAGACTGATCCAACTCGTGGCTAGTTCTCAGAAGTCATTCTAGCGCCAGAGTTGTTGGTACAGCTCGCAAAGTCGCTTAAAACTCCGAGGTCACCGAAATAACACCCGCGGTTCACCCCATTGGGATCCTTCCTCACGTTGTCAGAGAATTCTTCTTTCGTTAGTGCTCTACTGTAGCTGTTTTCAGTTTCTTGTTGCAACCTCAAGACCATTGTGCACGTACTCGGACAACTTTCCCAACTCGCATCAAGTGAATACAATAGCGGCAACAGTGTCTATTGAATTCGTTTTACTCACCTCGACACTTGAGAGTAGAAGAGTAAATACGCAGTGGTCCTCGTCTCGCTTCGAAGCTTGGATTCCTCTATCACAGAGACCACTTCGTCATCAATTCGAAGCCAACTATCACCGTCTCGCCTCGAGTCGCGATGCCTCACGTAAGCAACGTAGTGGCCAGAGTCATGTGACCCCCCTAGATGAGCACACACAGCGACCAACTCAAACTTATCACCCCTCTCATCGTCTCGGAAGAAGGCGTTCATCGTGATGTCCAGCAGCTCGTCCCTCCCACACGGAAAACTCACTGGAGTGTCCACTTTTTCAGCATGCCCTCTCACTGACGTGTGCTTAAGTCGTTGCAGCCGAAGCACCAGCACAGGAGACACACGTTGCAGCAGAATTTGTGTGAGACGCGTAGTCTTGGTCTTACAGAAGCCGTCGCAGAAGACGCGATTCTCGCCCGTGAGCTGCTCAGGATGCCGAAAATGCTCCAGACATTCCGCCAACGTTTGGTCACCTTTCCCAGCGGCGATTGGAAGTGAAATAACCCTGTATGCAGCAGCAGATTAGCACGAGGTTTGTTTTCTACTCGACAGGCACGTATACATACCGTTGTTCTTCGTGAAGACACGAGAGCGTCGCACAGCTGCAACATTGGGAGCCACGCACAGTTTGGCCAGAAAACAGATCGGTAATAACCGACGAGTTTTTTCGTAAGGAATAATTCCATCGCACTTCCCCAAGATTGGCTAAAAAAAACACGAATTAGAAGCAATTTTCACAGCCATGATACGCAATTCCACTCACCCACAGCCTGCATATACGATCTGGGGTCATTTGGGTTGTAGCTCCGAAGTTTCTTTAGCAACAGCTTCTCGATTCGCAGAAAATGCTGCCGTTCTTCTTCATTAGACCGCACAGGCTGCGCTGGTGCACGTAGTAGACCGTGTAATAGCTCCAATAGGAACGTCAGGAACTCTTCGGCATCTTGCTGCTCCTGTCTCGAGGCAGCACTGGACAATAAGAAGGTGCAACGACTGGCGGCCGACCTGAAGCTTCTCATCTTCTGCAGGTTGTCGTCTCTATTGTGTCTATGTCGCTCTTGTCTAGCTTCTGCTTCAACTTCAGATTCCAGCGCCTCACGAATGGGCGAGATACCTCTCAGAAGACTCACAAGCGTCTCGGCCACCAGTAACTTCTGCGTTTGCACGTCGTCTGCTTGCTGTACCATGTGAAGTTGTGTCCGCATACGCAGGGCACGGTCCACACCGTCCAAGAAGCCAGGTACTGCGGCGAGACATTGTAATATGGCGCTCACGAAGCACAAATTGCCACTATTGACAAGTCCGCAGGGAAGAGCAGCGTCTGATTGCTGCTGGTCGTCCGATTGAGTCAAGTTTGCTTCATGCTCGACCTCTTCATCGTCTTCTGAGCCAATACCGAGCCGCATGAGAGGCCGATGCACCCAGATCTTCAGCCAGCGACGAAGCCACAATATTGTCTGCGTCCACCAGAGTAGCAACAGCCACGGAAACCGCGAGGACTTGAAGCGCACACCCAGCGATGAGGCCCAGTCTGCCATGACGTGAATCGGAAGTGTCACAAGAAATGTGATTATGTGTGAATCACATCAACTAAGTAAGGTTTAAGTAAACTTAATGTTTTGAGCATAATCGCAATACCGGTAGCCACACACATCAAAATGCTGTCTCGACGAGCAGCTACGCTGGCGTCTCCGCTGGCACGTGGCTTCGCTGGAAAGCCCCAGATTCAAGTGCCTGTGAACAGATCGAAGGTACATGAAACGCCTATCGTGCAGAATTGCGGTGGAGACATGATGCGCTGGATGGGGACCGGTAGCCGCTTCCAGATGTACTGCGCATTGCTACTGTCGGGCAGCCTCGTGTACCAGGCAGACGCCAGCGCCAACATGATCGAGGTGCTGGCTACGAGTGGGGCCATTTGCAGTGCATCAGCCACTGCGTTTTTCGGCGCCAAACGACTGTGTGACAAGGTGGTGACAGATATTGTGACGTGTCGAAAGATGGGAGATCCCGACGAGTTCGTGCGCGTGTCGGTCTTAAGCGTCGGCGTGAAGCAAGTGCTGACAGCTTCGCCTCAAGGTAAATTTACAAAGAATGTTAAGGGGTTTTGTGGAGCTGAATTTTGGCCTTAATTGCAGACTTTAAGCTGCTGGGGCATGACGGGCAGGATGCCTACAGTTTTGCGTTGGGTGGTCGAAGACTGCAATTGGACACCTCCACAGGCGAGTGTGTGAATCGTAGGGCGCTGGATATGTTGATGCAGGGAAGACCGCTTGCTACTAGGAAAGTCAAGAAGGGCAAGAAGGGATCGCGCAACTAGATTGGATGGATAGAGTTCGGTGGGGGCGGATGCTTAGATTGTGATGGCTGGACAATCTTACATTTATTTTGGAGCCTCGCAAACAGAAAGGCACAACCTTCACGCAGCTTTACGTACAGTTTGCGATTTCTGGTTGCGAGCCAACAACTTGAACTGAGCGTACGCCAACTTGGCAATTGTTCATGTACTAGTAATTCTGTCCGGGATACTTGCTACTACAGTACAATACCATCGCCAAGTGGCAAGCGATGAACGGTACCGGTACCTACAGCGCTTACATTACTGTGTGTGTTTTATTTTTTTATAGTGGTATTGTGGATACCATTTCGGTGGGGCATTGGTTGTATCAGTTATGTAACACGACTCGTGCCTGCGAGTGTGTTGTCGAGCGACTTCGTTATTTTTTCTGCAATGTTTTCGGCACCGGTTGCACACGCAGCCAGTGGCTACAAGCTACGCATGGACTTGGCGGTTAACTCTTTAGGACGAACCTGCTTATGGGAAGGCTCGCAGAAGCTAAGGAGCTCCACGAAAATTTCAAGGAGTAAACGCCAACCAGAAGGAGATGATAGGGCTCCACGACACTGCAAGCGAGGTCACTGCTGTGGACTCCGACCTGGCTGGGTGCGCTACGTGATGAGAATAGAGTAATACTTCGAAGTCTTATTTTGGACTGCGTGCAACAAGGAAAGCACATCCCGAAGAGTGTAGCCATGTTCCGACTACTTGAGTCTGTAGCCGGTTCTGTCGCTTCAACTAAAATTTCAAAGATCGTTTCCTCGAGTCGTCAGCGACCACTCTATTTCGAACGACACTGTCCACTGGACAGAGTGTCCAGTACCGGTGCAGCGCTTGTACCGTACTTCGTCCTGCACGCCGCGCTACGTTGGCAAGGGCGGAACCCCATCGCATGACAGCTGAGAGCAACTCCTCAGCAGCCATGCGATGGTGCAGAACGGAATGGTCGACCGCTCCACCAGCGGCACCGCAAAGCGAGGCTCGTTGACTCTAATCCGTCCTCGACGTCTTTGATTCTGATACCAAAAAACAACGGGTCGAATTTTCTGACGAACCAAACCAGTCAAAATCTGCTATTATTAATATTATCGGCTGGATTGAGACGCACAATTGTGGAGACAATTAGATGAATTGCCGTGTCGATATTTCCATAGATATTTCAGCGTTGTCCTTCTTGATCGTCTGAAAGGGAGGTGGCTTCGGGCCGTACTGCTTGCAACACCGGGCGTGGAGGTCAAGGGGAACGCCACGCAAGTTGCAGGAAATCAAATTAATTATTATAATTTGAAAGGATTCTGTTTTGAGAAAAAATATAAGGCTTTCCCGGTGCGATACTCTTGCTGGTATCAATAATTGAAAAAGTTTGGCGAAAGAGATGTCTCCTGGAGACATCTTTCTCACCAACAAACTTTTTTCGCCCATGTGGGGAGGTCAGATGAATCCAGCATTGGCAAAAGGCTCTGGAAAAAGTGAAAAACGTTTATTGTCGCCAACCCCAATTTTTTCACGCCATCCGGTTCCAAATATTTTATCGCGCCCATCACCTGTTTGTTTGAAGCAGTTCAGTTGGCTCATTTACCAAAGTGCCTCGTCGAGTGCAAGTCTAAGCTGCCACTCCCGCTAATTACACATTTCACAGAGTATTAGTCCCAGCGCTTCGGTCGCCGGTCGCCATCATTTTTCAACCGTTCGCCTTCAACGCCCGCAATATGTTGCTTGTCGACAAGCGCCAGTCGCTGCCGCCTCAGGTCTCCGCCAGTCGCAAGCGCAAGATCGTTCTGAGTGACGACTGCAGGGAAAAGCGCGCGCGTTGCGAGTGGACCGAACTCGAGTACGAAATGGTACTGGAGGAGGCCACTTTATTACGTGAGGAGCTGGAGCTGCTGCTCTTTGTGGCAGTAGATCTGTGCCGCGATCTCAGCTGCGACGACGCACCTGTACGCAGTTTTTCGACCGCGCTGGAGCAGATCGGAGAGCTCATGACCTCCCCAGAACCGCTTACTGTCCCGCAGATCCGCGATATGTGCCAGCAAATGCTCGCTATGATGCAGTATCTGTGCCGGGTGCACTACGACCACTTTGCGCTCGTCGACATGCAGGATCAGCTCCGTGAGTGCCGTAACCGCTTCATGCTCTTCATCTGCAAGAACGCCTCTATGATCGGACTCTAAGCAGCATCAACAGCAGTAGACACTCTTTAAGTTATGGACGTCAGGTCGCCACGTCCTGTATCATAATTGCCCCACTACCATCAGCTAGCGGCAACAGTAATATAACGCCGAATTTTAGACCACGCAACTACTGTGTTGGACATTTGCTTGACGGTACCCACGGTAACCGTTTCTGACGCTACTATTAATAATAGTGCAGCTCTTGTCAACGTATACGATGCTACAGTGCATTTGGGATCGTTTGAGAGGTACCGTCGCAACACTAAAGACAAAAGTTGAGTACTGCAAATCTGTCTTTGACGTCAGACGCAAACTGGGCGATCGCCTTGAGATGCTGGTCCAGCTGCACGTTTGGATTCTCCTCGAACCACGACACAAACTTACGGTGCTAATAATCAGGTAAACAGTTGAGTTTTTTCAGCTCAAGATCAAGCAAACCAGTGCGACAGCTTACACTCTCTTCCATTTTGTCGAAACTTTCGTGCACACCGCGCAACTTGTCGTCGATTTCATCAGCGAATTGATTGAAAGCGTCGTGTGCGAGCTTTGCGTCCTTGTCTGAGGACTTGCTGCTTGCTATTGCGACCGACTTTACAAGCTGGTGGCCCTCGCGAAGCTGGCCCAACTCGACGGTTAGACCGCCCACAGACACGCCCTTGCACTGCATGACCAGGTGGATTTCATCGTAGAAATTTGCCAAGTTTCCATCCTTCTCAGTCTGCAAAACAAAATCACATTAGTGCACGTTTGAATTACGTATGCTTCATCACAAATTTGAAGATCGTACCCGGAGCAGATACAAGAAGGCGTCGAAGATGGTGGTCTTTTTGTCGAATGCCTTCGTGTGACTCAAGTTGAGCAGCGATTCCAGCGAGAATCTTGCTCGGTAATTCGCCACAAACTCCTCATTGGCCAGGTTACCAAAGTCTCGAAGAAGTCGAATCACTTCGCCGAATTTGGAACTCGAGCAGATTTGATTCAACGCCCGAGTCACGAGTTCCATCAATTGTCTACAAAGAGCACAAACTCGTCAGTTTTTTAGTGTTTAAACTGGAAGAGAATGCAGCGTACTTGAGGTCTTCAGCACGAGATTGAAGCTCCAGTTTCAACAGAAGACATTGAAGCTTCTCCTTTGCCATGGGAATCGAGCGGATCTTCACTAAAAACTGCTCGCACTGAAGCATACACACATCCAGACACCAGTGAGAAGACGCCAGAGTCCTAATAATGCCATTCCTGATCACTTACACGCCCCAGTTCGTTGAAATCTCCCGCGTATTCATCGAGGAGGACTTGTTCGGCCACGCTGGGCCACATGGCCAGAATCGTCTTGATGTCCGTGTCTTGTAGGTACATCGCCGTCAGGATGTTCACGTCTTGAGCCACCTTCGCGAAGGGAAACTTGAGTCGGCTTACCACAAACTCGAGGTTTGTGCCTTTAGTTCCTTTCATCACTTGGATCTTCTCAGTCTTCACAGACCAGGAAGGACGCTGAGCTATTAAGGCCACTTCCGTTTCACTCGTCATCGACACCAACGAGTCGCGTTCGTCGCCTTCGACAGATCTGCCAATCTCTCGCACGAAAAGTTCTTGGATGCGAGCTTGTGACAACGCAGTGACGCGTTGATGGGCGTCTTCCTCGTCGTCTCGAGTCCAGACGGACCCGTTCGGCGGAGGTGGAGCTCGATCTGCTGCTGCGACTTCGTTCCAATGCCATTTACGACGCTCTGTGGTCGCCATTGTAGCAGTTGCTTCGACCTCGGGACTTTCTTCCAGAACGGAGCCGTTCAACGCTGCGGGGTTGATGCCGTTCTTGCGCATTTGCCGTTCAACAGCAGGTAGAGGGACCCCAACTTTGAGCATCGTCCGGTACCGCGCAAGTGGATCCTCAGCAACTGGATCTGGCTCATCGCTGACACTGTTCTCGTCCTCTGGCTGTGGCTGCAGCACAACTGTTCAGTGTGATAAAACCTTGGAGTTCATGAATGCCAAACCTGTTGCTTTGTTCGCTCTGATTCTTCTGGTTCCTCCGCTTGCTGTGCTATTTCATCCATCCAAGCCCTCGACGGCGTGAGCGAGTCTCCCTTTCTCAAGCAAAGTTTGTTAGATCTCACATCCGCTAGCAAAAGGAGCCACGACTTACACCGATGAGGCGGAGGATACCCTCCTGATGTTCCAGTTTCTCTTCGGCTCTCAAGCGGATTTGCGCCAGGAACATCCTGGGCTTGAAGTCTCTCGTAGCCTGTGAACTGATCGCCCTTCTCTCCTGTATCACAGGAAAAGTAAGTAGGACTTTACCTCCAGCCTTTCTCAAAACTCAAGAGTTGTGTGATCACGAACTCCTCGCTGCGTTCTGTCTAAAGATATTGATTTAAGCAGCCCCAATTGTCCAGACTTTATCTCTTGTTTGCTGCCTGTAGACCTTCAAGCTCCTGTAGATCTCCCAGTTATGCGTAATATTGTCGCTGCACGTCTTCAAGCACATCACGACATGGAACCACCGCACGTAGCTTGATACACATCAGGAAAGCGCCAGCAAGCTTTCGGTGGAGAGAATAGACTTCCTGTGGGGGCGGTGTCAAGCGACCATGCATGAAAACCTCCGTGTGTTGTCCCAGTCTGGTGGTCAGCTTGCTCTTCTGGAAGTCAAACGGTTCATGAGACCTGAAAGGCTCACCGACTACCATTCCAGCTGCAACGTGGGCACGCATCATGGCTGGAGACTCGTCGCCAGTGAGGAAATGCATCTTAATAGAGTAGTCGACCATCGTTTTCTCGTCCTCATTCGCTGCAGCCCACACGATGTTGAAGTAATCGTCCACAAACGACTTCGGATACTCACGAGCAGCGCCGAAATCCACCAATCCAATCGTGTCGGTGGATGCGTTGTACATGAAGTTACTCCAGTTCGGGTCTGTCTGCATGAAGCGCCAGTTAAAAAGCTCGTGGATCGTGAGCTCGAGGATACGACGAGCGATACTGTCACGAACGTCCTGAGAGAGATGCACGGCCTTGTCGACTGCAACGCCCGAGATCAACTGCGTCGTCAGGATACGTGCTGTGGATAGCTCACGGTACACTCGTGGCACCACGTACTTCTCCCCCATGCCGTTTTGCTCGATAAGTTGCTTGAAACGCTCCTGGTTGTCTGCTTCAGCAATGTAGTCGCACTCGGCTGTGAGTTCCTCCTTGCCCACACGGATGATCTCGTCGATGTACAGTCCACGCGGCAGGATGTTGGTGTATGTCACCAGTCTCTTGAGGTTGAGCAGGTCGCTGCCAATTGACTCGGCTACACCTGGATACTGGATCTTGATCGCCACACGATCGCCATTCAGCAGCGTAGCGCGGTGAACCTGTCCGATAGACGCAGCGGCGATGGGAACGTCGTCGAATTCCTGGAAGTTATCGCGCCAGTCGTCACCCAGTTCGGTCTTGAGTTGCTGATGCAGCTGGTCTTTAGGCATCACGTGGGCACTAGAGCAAAGGCAATAAATCAGCAACTACAAAAGAATAACACTAGGAAGCCTTGCAACTTACTTTTCACGGACTCGATCTAGTGCCACTGCCAGCTTGGACGGGATCATGGCTTCGTCCTGGATGCTCAGCATCTGTCCGAGCTTCAAAGCCGCTCCTCGCATAGTGCACAGCGTCTCGGCCAGCTTCTCGGCATTGGCATCGGACACCAGTGCATTGTAGGTACCATTTCTGCCTCCACTACGTACAATTTCTGTCGCTGTACCCACTGCCAGCCTAGCTGCAAGACCACCAAAGCCCAAGATACGAGACAACGGGGACGACGGCACGTGTTTCTCCTCCCACACCTTCCTAGGCGGCTCTTCGTCCACAACAGGAGGTATCTCGTTTTTCAAAGGCTCAGAAGCACTTTTTTCCACCTCTGGCAACGCGATCTTGTCTACCTTTAAAGGTTCCGTCTGGATCTTCACCTCCGGGGTCTTAGGCGTCTCTCTAGTCGCCTCAATTTGCTGCTTAAGCACCGGAGCTTTGTCCTGTGTCTCAGTCTTCGTCTGTGTTGTCGGAGATACTGCAGTGGACTGCGTCTGTACTGGCTGAGAAGCCGGTGGAGGCGTAGCGCCCTCTCCGTTGAGGAAATAAGGCACTAACCGAGCCAACTCTGTCGCGTGTTTGGACAATTGAGCGCTCTTGGCAGCGACATCAGGCCCCTGTGTGCGCGCCACCTGCTCTGCGACTTTGCTGACGCCTTGCAGCACCCGCACGAAGTCCTGCGTCCACATCGAGAATGCGCACTTAGCTCCGTTGTGCGGCTCGGATTGCTGCTTCGAGAATGCACGTCAAATACGATTGTGGGTGATTGATGTGGTGTTTTTTACATTATATTAATGTGTAGCACACATCAGGTTGCGATCAAGCCCCCTTTGCTCTTCAACACAACAACCTGAACTCTTAGCAACGATGGCTGGTGCGACTTTGCTGATGGATGCGTGGCTGCTCGGTGGGATCTAACACTGTGTGTGCGACTGAGCAGAGCAAGTCCGAGCGTCTCACCTGCTGATCAAGCACAGCGGATCGCGTCGCCCTGGTACATTTATTGGTGCTGCAATAGTGAAGAGTATTCGGTTGACACAATTTTACTGCAGCGTCGCGTCTGAGTGACAACATCACGCGCTCCAAGGAGGAAGCCATTGCCAAGCTGCTCGGTGCGTAAAATGAATTTCAAGATAATACAGACAGGTGACTGACTGTTGCCGACTCTTATCCAGAGCTGCGCGCCCTGATCGTGTCGGGCCAGGCCAAGTTCGAGGAGCTGGCGACGCAGTACAGCGACTGCAACAGCGGCACGCGTGGCGGTGACCTCGGCCCGTTTGGCCGTGGCATGATGCAGAAGCCGTTTGAGGACGCCACCTTCGCGCTCAAAGTTGGTGAGCTGAGCGACGTCGTTGACACGGACAGCGGAGTGCACATCATCCTTCGTACCGCGTAATTGACCCGGAGAGTGAGGGCAAACTCACACCCTTGATTCGGATGTCTTTACGAAATGAAACTTTGTTAATGATATCTTTTACTAAATTCACACATACTGCTCAACTTGAGCATGCAGTTTGCCTAACATTGAATTTCTTCCGGCAAATCTACAGCCCATGATTTTTCACTACCGCATCGCCCCTGTCCTAAGCGAACGCCCATGAAAGACCTGCCTCCATAAATTCCAAAGTGGTCCGCTGGTGAGAGCTGCTAATAGTATTTCGGTCGAACACCTCTGGCTATTTGTACGCTGTCGCTCTTCCTTTTGCATCTTTATCAACCCCGGTCAGACTGCTGCCTATAATTAGCTCGCGGAAAGACCCTTTAATGGGCAGCCATCTGTTATGAATACAGCGCTGTTATTGATCATAATCGAAGTTCGCTTAGGACAAAACTTCGCTTAGGACAGGGGCAATACTATACATGTACATGATTTGGCCCATGGCTGACCATGTTTGTAATTTAAATATTTCCCGTTTAAAAATGCAGGCGGGAAAGCCAGTCATTTGTCTGACACGCGTCATGAGAAGGCGAACCGCTCGCCACTGCTGCCCCGCGCGTCCTGGCAAGACCCCGAGACCCCCGCCAACCGACAGCTGCCTCCCCCCCCCACGTCTGCCCGCAGGTACGCAGAATCTTTATGCTCCATCATCTTCATTGACGCGTACAGGACGCAAACTAACTTTTCCTGCTGCTGATTTCCACAGCTACACGGTCGTTGGGGAAAATGGCAGTCGATTATGGTTTGGTGTTGGCCCTCAGCACGGTCTTGTAGAGGCAACGGGCTGATTCCCTAAAATACTAAATATGTAGTATAGATATAGCTAAATCTAGGGAGTGGTGTGGTGGGAGCTTTGGTCTTGAGCAGAGAAACCGAAACTGAGTGGTGCTGGAGTCCGCACTACCTTCACGGGTAGGCATACCCAAAACCTTGGCTTGAGCTGCGCTGACTTGTTAACTCCCTCTGCCTCGAAACCTCTATTCCTGTTACCACAAATGCCAATTTCCACAGCTACACGGTCGTTGGGGAAAATGGCAGTCGATTATGGTTTGGTGTTGGCCCTCAGCACGGTCTTGTAGAGGCAACGGGCTGATTTCCCACCGAAAGGTAGGGGCAACACCTCTGACTTCGCTGGAGGTTGTGTAGTTGCTTGGATCCGCTGATAATCCTAGTCGACAGAGTGGCCACTGATTCCTGGCACAATCTTGTGTACTGCTTGAAAGTATCCGATGCCCAGCGACCGTGAAACTGAATTGTCAAAGTGTCAATGCCTGCGCGATACATGTGCGTTGCCCCTCCTGCCCTGAGTGAATGCGCGCTGTACACCCTAGGGTCATTTCCTGTACTTGCCGCCGCTTGTCGTATTGCTTCAGATACTTGGTGATTCGAGACGCACTCAGGAACGCCATCTTCATTAGTGTACACTGCCGCGGGAATATCGGCAGGAAGTGAACGCCTTGCCTTAAGCAGGCACAGAGCACCCAGCACTGGGCACACGAACGGGTGTCCCGAGCGTCGCAGAAACCGTCTTGTAGGGTCTCCTTGTTGGTTCGTCTTTGATCCGGTAAGCCGAATGTGCACTGCCGACGCATCCTTCGCCTCGAGAGTTGGTTGATCGCTCGAGTCAAGAACGGTAATGTCGTTAGCCTTCAGAGCAAACCATGCAAACCTGTTGGAGCTCACCGCTGCGATCTCGGAGCGTCTCAGAAGGAAAAAAAAAGCCAGACACAGTACACCCCAAAGAGCTTGGTGAAAGGGCTTCTCCATGTGAAAGGAGTGAAAGCACGTCTCCAGCAACTGGATGGAGATCGGAGCCTTGTGCCTCACCGGCGTGTCGAGGCATCTAATGCCCTTGATAAGCATGCGAGCCTGTGGATGGATAGACGGGAAGTGTAGGCCCGCGGCAGCGAAGAAATGTCGAATACCCGTAAGCGTGGCCGTAATTATTGTACTGCGCACTGGTAGGCCGGATCCATAGCATTCGCGAAGTCCCAGCAGTGCGAAATCGGTAATGTGCTGAATGGATGCGCATAAGGACATGGGCTCGAGTGTCGGATGAACCCCCCGACGGGAGCACCAGACCAGCCACTTTCTCAGGGCCCTGGCATACTGGCCGAAGGTGGACTCTGCAACAGAGTGCGCTCGGAGATGGAAAGCCATATCCGCTCGAGATCGGCCGACGTAACGTTGGGAGAAACCTGACACCAGTCACGCGTGAGGCAAGAAAATAAGTTAGCAGCTGAGGCGTCGTCAGTACTTCGCGAGCCGGCGTCCGCAGTCGTGTTGTCTGACCCCGGGATGTGAGACGACGAGAAACGAAGATTCCACTTCACCTCCCAAATACCGAGAAGACGGATAAGTGTCTGTGCGCGTGAGTTTGTGGCTACCATTTTGGACTGCCAGCTCACTGCCGACATGTTGTCGATGCGAAAGTGCACATGTACTGGTCGGGATGCTGCCCGCGTGCCGTAGCGGCTCGACCAGGCGGCCCCCACGTGTGCGCTGCCATAGTTGCCGACAACAATTCCCGATAATTGATGTCGAAACCCACAGATGATCGATCTTTGGTTCTCGAGATCAACGCCCGCTCCTCATTGGAAAACCGGTAGACGAGAACGGTCCTGTCCGCGCGAACGAGAGCAGACAACCCAGTGTCGGAGGCGTCCATCTCAACCACGACGTCGGGCTGGGGATGGCTTCCAAAATAAGCCAGTGAAACACCATTCAACACAGGGCGGCCCAGAATATGTAACCACCACAGCAGATCCTGCCGCATTGAATCCGTGACAGGTACAGTTTGCCACCGATGGAGGTGGCGCTCCTGTTGGCGGAGGCGCTGAAGGAAGGAACGAGCCGGACGAATGCACGTAGCCACATGACGAAGGCACCCAAGGAGTGAACGGTACTCCGAGCGACCTAGCGTGGATAACTGGAGTGCCGTAGTCACGATACGTTTAACTTTCGCGATCTTGGTTGCTGGCATTGAAATCAGACCCTGCGAGGTGTCAAAAATAAGGCCCAGCGCCTTTTGACGTGTGCTCCAGCGGGTGAACTTGTCTTCGTTGATGGCACGAGGCCCCAAAACGGTCAGCATAGCGTAGCGAAGGGACTGCTCAGCGTCCTGGCAGTTCGAGCCCACGTCGGCTGCGACATTAATATGGTCGTCCACCCAGCAGTAGTTGAAGAAACCCGTTGGGTTGTGTGTGTTGGTAGTATGACCGTGGACGTGTGCGATAGCCCCACCGACCACACCGTAGTTACCGGGGGATCCTGACCAGCCGAAAGCTGCCGACATGTCGATTACGAGCGCGGTGTCGCGGTCGAGGCACCCGCCAAAAAGGTGGACTGAGTTGCTGTGGATGCCAACGTGTTTGAAAGCCGACGCAACGTCGCCAGCTTGGACAGCGATATCAGCGCCCGGAACTGTACTTCTTACCGTGTAATCTCCATGGCAATCGCATCGCAGTGAACGAAATCCGGTTGGCACACCGCCGCCTGGTCCGTGAAGTCGTTGATCGAGTGCTCAACAGGGTGTGATATATCATGGATGACGCGACCGGTGGTTGCTCTGTCGCCGTCCCCTTTGTCCACTTCTCCGAATGAGCTAATATGAACTTCGGTCAAAATTGAAAGAAGGTCGATGTCGACCACAATACAGCGCCAGGCATCCTGCTCTTTCCGGATGTTGCGCACGAGCACAGCGTAGCGCTCATCCGCTGAACCATGGTTGCGAGGCCGACACTGCTGAGGGGGTAGTGGCTGTAATAGCGGTACTTGCGCTCCTGCCTCTGCGATGGCAAGAAGCTGTGGGAGGTGTTCATATCCGGCACAGGTTGCCGATAGTACGGCCGGTATCATGCCTTTGTTCGGTCGGTAGTCATCTTTGGTCTGGCCGCGAAGGAGCTCGGCGAACTGAGGAAGAGGCATACGCGTGCGTCGTACGAACTCCGACAGCGTGGCCTGTAACTCTTTGTTTAATCCTTCGCTGGAGGACCGGTCCTCGCCGGAGTCGCATGCTGGGAGGGTAAGTCCGACAGCACGCACCGAGCGTTCGATCCGACGGATACGAATTGACTCCCACAGTTCGAGCCTAGCCAACGCGGCTACTGTCATGCGCCTTGTTGCGGCTACCGTTGGCGCGGGTCGGAAACAAGGCGCAGGGGGCTTAGAGAACAGTGGAGAGCAGATGTGACACGTTCGACTAGAGAAATTGGTGGCGTCTCCGGCTGTGGTTGACAGTCCGGCAGTCGCCGTGCTGTGAATCGCCTCCAGCGTGTTCTGTACGGTGACGTCCAAGCCGGGGGGCGTTGGTGGCTGAGCGCCATGGGGCGACCCGTGTAAACCCGAATTGCCGTGGGGCGAATTCGGTTGAAATTGTGAGGTACTGATGATGGTATCATGTTGGTAACTGCGCCCATGTTCGACGGGTTCCAGTGACTGCGCTCCACATCCCGCCGGCGGCTGTATGGACGTTGACGAATTGACTCCCACAGCTCGAGCCTAGCCAACGCGGCTACTGTCATGCGCCTTGCTGCGGCTACCGTTGGCGCGGGTCGGAAACAAGGCGCAGGGGGCTTAGAGAACAGTGGAGAGCAGATGTGACACGTTCGACTAGAGGAATTGGTGGCGTCTCCGGCTGTGGTTGACAGTCCGGCAGTCGCCGTGCTGTGGATCGCCTCCAGCGTGTTCTGTACGGTGACGTCCAAGCCGGGGGGCGTTGGTGGCTGAGCGCCATGGGGCGACCCGTGTAAACCCGAATTGCCGCGGGGCGAATTCGGTTGAAATTGTGAGGTACTGATGATGGTATCATGTTGGTAACTGCACCCATGTTCGACGGGTTCCAGTGACTGCGCTCCACATCCCGCCGGCGGCTGTATGGACGTTGGCGCAAAATATGAAACCACACTGCTGCCGGTGGACTGGGACTCGACGGGGGAACTAAACTCTGTAGCAGAAAGATGCGTGTATTGGTGCAAACAGATTGTTGACCGAAGTGGAGCAGAGCTCACTGCACCTCGGCCTCCTCACTGACGTCCAATGCGACCGTCGTGCCGGCGGTCAGCGCCGTAGTGCCGGTCGATAAACTCCTGAAGATCTCGTGGCAGCCGTCGTTCCCACGTGTGTGTACGTCGGCCGTGACCGCACCGATCCGTGCTTCCGCCATGGCACATACCACCACCCATGAAGCGCAGGCATGGCTCCAAACCAGCGGCATCGCGCGGGATTTGGCGTCGGATGTAGTCGGGCATGATGGGAGTACGAGTTGAAGGGCCTCTGCGCGGCGCTGATGGTACACCATTGCCGGTAGGTCTAGATGTTGAACTTGCAGACGCATGGTGAGCGCGAGAGAGGCGCAGCGCGAGGCCGTTCAGCGCTGCCTGCCATTCAGCACCGTGGTAATCAATGGCTCGCACAGCTTCGCAGTAATTCCGCCACCACACAGGGGAGTCATCAAGCAAGTGCGACATCGCACGCCCGAGGAACGTGCTCACGTGCTGTAGTGTTAGCGTGACCCGCTCTGGGGTATTATCGTCGCGTTCGACATTGGCGACAACGAAACGCTTGAGACGGGACGTCATCCGCCGAGCGTATTCGAAAAAGAACGCGTCGCCGACAGAGATCAGGCCGCCGATGGCTGCAAGAAGGTCTTCGTAGCTCGAACATTCGCCAGATGCCGAGGGAAGCGCTGCACTTGCCCCAAAGTCGGATGCAAAGTTGGCATTGGACGAGCCCCGTTGAAGGCGCTCCAACTCTGACTGAGGTCGGACATGCAGGATGGTGAGGCCGC